TATAATTTTTAACTGTATTCATGTTTTTTAGTATGTTGTAAGCCGCCCAGAGTCCCCCATTATGGGGAGATGGGCAGGGACAAATTAAATAAATAAATAAATAAATAAATAAACTCCCATAATCCCCCTTGGCTATGTATGCTAAGAGTAAAAAGGGGTTTCTCACTCAGCATATCTACAGGGCACCTTGTTGGGAAAAGGTAGCTTGAAACGTTCTTCCACAAAGGATTCTCCGCATCCTGTCCCCAAATGATGAACTTCATGGTTGCCTTTGAGGAAGCCCCCACAGTTATATTGGCTTACGATGCTGCTTCACCCTTTACTGTCTTTGATCATCCTCTGACAAAACTACGGGTTAATATAATGCTCTGTCTTGAGGTAGAGAACTTGGCACTGCAAAATACGAACGCGCCACATGAAGCGGAGGTATTAAAATTGTACTATCAGAGACAATAAATTAAATTGCCATCCAACAAACCCTTTAAGGAGGTCTGACATAACCACAGCAGATTTTTCATTTCCCACTACACCCTGCTGTGGATCTTCACCTGTTTTATTAAATCATAAAGTCTCTTTTTAATAAGTGACCCAGCAGAAAACAATAGTGAATGACAAGTTTCATTAGATTTGGAATTTATTTTTTTTTTCAAATGCAAGCAGAGAGTAGAAAGTGCATATTATTTACTTTCTTTACAGAGTTAATGTTGGTATGTTTTTGCACTCAGTAAAATTGGTTTGATTGCATAGTTTTATTTTGCTTTTAAAAGAAAAATTGCAGTTGAGTTCAAATAATTCCCAACAACATACAATTGAGTAAGGTCATTTTTGATTGGATATAAGACTAGCTTTTCTTGTCTTTTTTTCTTCCAGGAGATTGGAAGCTAGTTGGGAAATAAGCAGAAGTGTTTGGGTTTTTTTTGTTCTTTTTAATTAATGTATCTCACTTTGCCTCTGGATAAAGGAGGTTCTGTGAGTTTTTGTGTTGTTTCAAAAACCTGCTAAACCTGTTTAGTTGCATTTGGTAGCAGGAGAGAAGCATGTGTTTATCACAGGAAGCACAGACTCTCTGAAACCACTTTCCTTATTCCTGGGAGCTACTGTCTGAATCCGTTGTATATTTGCCATAGATATTTCTCGTAGAGAATCGTTTCAGGAAATATGTGGGGGAAGAGGAAAAACTGAAAGACCCTTAAAAATGTAAAAATGGGAAAAGTAGGTCAAAAAAGGATTGATAGCAATCTTATTGTCTCAAGGCACTAAGTAACTGTGCACCCGTGAGAACAGTGCCCTCAGAACCGATGAACTGTAGCTCACCAGATTTCTACACGTCTGATAGAGCTACTCTTTTCTAGTTGCAGAGTTGTTACTGCTGAAAGGAAGCAGCAGTAGGGTCATCTCGTCCATCTCATTGCATCAGGGTATGATTTATTTCATTATCCTTAAGCCATCCCTGATAGATGATGCATGTCAAGTTGAGATGGTGATGTCATAACCTCCTCATGTTTCCTGTTCCGTTCCACTAACCACTCTAATAACTATGGCTGCCTCTCTCCCCCACAAATCTCTGTGGAGCGTCTGCTGTTGCTGCTTGCAGAATCCTAACGCCATTCACTGCTGCGCTTTATGCTGCCTTTGTTAGCAAGTCAATGCTTTCATTAGTGGCTGCTCATACTTTATTTGCAGAAGAGATCTCAATCTTGTTGTCTAGACTTAATGGGTGACTTAACTGGAGCTTTGCCATAGATTTCAGCAGAGGGAGGCTTTCTCCAAATATGGCTGCATAGTGTACAAATAATGATTAGCAAGTGGCAAACTGGAGTCTCTAAGGCAGGGCTTCCAGTCCACATTTTACAATTGCCATTCCAGACATGATGGCCGTTGTTTCCAAAATAGCGACCAGATTCTGTATCTTTGGTTCTGCATTCACATTACTTGAATTCAATTTCCATGGTGCACAGATGAGCATCTGTGTGTAAGTGACCAATTCTCAGTAAAGTAGTCATGATGCAATCATCTGTTTTGGATGATTAGTTCAAATGGAGTTCCTTGCAAGACATCAGTTATTTTTCATATTGGTCTGGGGCAGAATAAGATGTTCTTTGCTCTCCTCGCATCTTGATGTTATGGCATGACATCATCAACATGTGATGTCATAGCATCAAGTGAATGATGTGTCAACATTGTTCTGTCATTTCACCAGGCTTGTCTCTCGCATCCAATGATGTACGGCAGAAGATAGTAAATGCATTGGCAGAATGAGGTCATGACATCGATTGTTTGCACTCTGCTGTACTGCATGGGCAAAGAAATAAAGAGGAAGGAAAAGATGCATTAGTATGGGCATCATTTCTAATTCAGCTCTCTAATTTAAGGTCTGGCCAGCAGAATTCCTTTCACTATCTCTTTGCTGATGAGCTAAGCAAGAGAATGTCTAGATCAGAATGTCTAGAAGAGGATAGGGACCTAATTTGCTATTCAGCCAGTCTGTAAAGCTTCCTTGTGTCTTTGTGTTTAGCATCCTTTTAGAAGTACCAGCCAAATCAATGCAAAAATAAACTAATTAATGCATACCCTCATTTTTAAAACTAATTTCATAATGGTTTAAATGAAATATGTGAACCAAAGGCCTAATATTTTAATCCTTAGCATGATTCCTTGGAAATAAGGGGGCTTCTGGGCAAGATTTTTATCATGGAATCACATACAGAATTGTAGGTGTGCCTATGTGAACATCTTTATCTTGCACCTTTATCTTGGTTTTTCCTGATGCTTCTGCCATCTTTTTTTCTTCCCTTGAAAAGCAGATACATCCACAGGTCTTCTGATTGGCAGTGCTAGGAAGCTGTCGAGAAGCATCGAGGCCAATGGATTACAACATTTCTGGATAAGTGAGCTTTCTACTGACCCAAGTAAATTTTACAGAGAAAGAACAGTCAGAAAACTAGATTTTGCACAATCCCCTCTTTTACAATTTATTGCCTCGACTCTGAGTTTTACAGCATTATTGCCTTCAGTTTACAAGTTGAATATTTACACAAATGGATTTAGGTCAAGACGAAGGGCAGGTTTTAAATGTCCCGTGACCACTGGCATTCTGAACACGTTCTCATTTACAGCAGATTGCTGGTTTAACTCTGCAAATGCTGGTATTTCCCACGTGGCCAGATGATAATTACAATGGCCCCTAATCTACAGTTATACCTTCCATCTATCCACATTGCATGTTGTTAGTCTGCCACAGAATGCAAACAGCTCAACCAAACTCATGGGAGGATATATATTTAACACACAACAAGCGAAGGCGAACTATATAAAGCAAACAACTCTCTTAAACTCTATCAGGGTGTTCACAAACCTTAACCCTAACTGCCCCATTTTGACATATTTACATCTGTAAATAGAAGATTTCCTTCCTCCCTTCCCCATGTGCACCTTCAACAGTTCTCTCCCACAGGAGGTGAAGCTTTTCCACTAGGATATGGAAAAATTTGGATGGGGAAAGCTTAACCCATTTCTATTTTTACATGCCAGGCTCCTGTTAAAGGCCAAATCTTACGAGGAGGAGGGAGGAGGAGGAGGAGGAGGACGACATAGCAAAATCTCCTTTCTTTCTCCCCACAGCTTCTACCATTTGCGCTTCTTCAGTTACCTCAGAACCACTTCCCTCTCCCCCACCTCCTCAAGAGCCCTCTCCATAATGGTGGGTTTGAGTTGTTCATGCTAAAACTACCCCCAGCTGTTTCTGCCCGTGTGGAACTCTTTAGGGATCAGTGTGAGTGGCATCCCCATCAGGCCAGCTGCATCAATGACTTCACTGGTCCCCGCTGCCCCCTGTGCTTCCCCTGCACAAAGCAGGCAGCATTTGTTCTCCAAAGCGCTAGTTCTCCACACACTACGTTCTGGCCTGGAGCCTCTGTCAGTACACAGCAACTCATTGAGATAACACGGAGGCCAGGATAGCACAGGCTGCTCCAGGCACAAGGCACTGCTAAGCTCCCCAAATGTTGTAAAACAGGTCAGATTAGGATAACGCAAACACACACCAATGATGTTAACCAGTCATTGCTTTGGCCACCTGCCAGGTGACACCTAGTTTATTTCTGCATTAAAAAGTGCTCTGCCAGTTTTGGAACTGGTTCTCTTTTGCAGTAATTGAAGTAGCATAAAGCAACATTCTTCTTGTTGATACAGACGTGATCCGTATTGTTTTCAATATTTGAAACACATGGTTCATATCAAGAGTGTAGCCTGTGGTTGAGGAGGGTGGGGTGGGGGATGGTGAGGAAGAGATTGCAAAGTTTATTCAGCTTATACAGATCTTAGTATTCTCTTCAGAGTTCCAGCTTGCAGAGCCTTAGCCATTTTTTCTCACTCAGCAAAAAGTATCCATTCTGTGCCAAATGGGACAGTTGCACACTAAAGCATCCAAATGGGACACTCTTTAAGGTAACCAAAACTCTGAAGTTTTCCTGCATGAGCTTTAGGTTCTTCTGATAGATTTGCCACTGGAGGCTTAATTGTTCTTTGCTTGTGGGGAAAGATAAGATCTCCAAATACTTATCCATGTAAAATGGAAATAAACATTTTTACTCTCCACCCCCACCCCATGTTGCCTTCCATGCATTGATTACTTTGATCATTCTTTAATGAACATTTAAAATAGGAGTCGCTATTTTTTTGGAGCTGCCTCCAAGGCTTTTATGACTCACACACAGCCTGGTGCCTCAGCTTTTGCACCTCTGATCTAACGACATAAGGAGACCTGGAGGACATGTGCAATTACTGATATTCAGATGTTGCAGATAAACTTAGACACAAGCTAATATTTCTTCCCTGAGTGCCAAAAGAGGCATAACAGAGGTGTTATTATGCACCCTCAGCTCACCTTCATCTCCAGTGCAGAGTTTGTATGCATTTCTAATCTTTAAATAAATGAATAGTACAGTCCTCCCTGGATATGGTGGATCTCCAGATGTAGTTCAACACATCTGCAGGGCACCAGATTGGGGAAAGCTGCAAGTATATATGTACAATTAAAGGCAGCACACAAGTAGCATTATACATATTTAAGTATCCAAAGCAGAATATATAAATTCTGTTGTCTAGGGTAATTTATCTTACCATCATCACTATCCAAATTTCTAATCCTGTAACATGTCTAATAATATGATCTGGGTAACATCTCTAATAATAACTGAACAACATCAATATACTCATAAAAGATGTAAGTGCCCTAACACCACCCAACTCTGTACTTTGATATTACCCTGATCATGTATACAGCTCTAGCAACACGTCAAGTGATATACAGAACATAAAAGTGGTATGGTTCCTAGCCAGATGATCTCCAATTTATAATGCAGTTAATACCCAGTTGTAATGATATGTGGGAAAGACCTTGGGAGACTGGGCCAAGAGACACTGCCTAGGGAATGGTTAGATAAGACACAGCATAGCCCGCAGCTGGATACTGGGCAGGGCAAGAGGCTCAGAAGAGACCTGCCCTAGTTTCTCAGGCTGTAAAGGAGATGGCAGGGAGAATTGTTCTTTCAGACTTGCAAGATTGATATCAGCTTTACTAGGTAGACCAGACAGGAAACATGAACAGATGAGCTAATTCTACTTTATTTTAAAGCTACATTAACAGAATCTTGCAAATCTGAAACAACAATCCCCCCCCATCTCCTTTACAGCTAGAGAAACTATGGAGGATCCCTTCTGAGCCTCTTGCCCTGCCCATTATCCATCTGCGGACTATGCTGTCTCTTATCTGACCATTCCCTAGGTAGCATCCCTTGACCCAGTCTCCCAAGGTCTTTCCCACATACCATTACACCAGCCTAGATGACCAGGGGAGTCAGAATCTCCATGGGTCTATCTAATACCTATTGAATGAACCAAAGGGTCAGGAAGGTCATTCCAGAACTGCAGGACAGTAATAAAAAATGCCTCATTATGTACTCTTCATGTTTGAGATGCCATGTAATGACTTATCTAAAAGACTATTCTCTGTATATCTGAATTGGATTTTCTATTTAAAGCACCTTGAACCAGGATGGGTATAGGGGCAGCCTATTGATCAGGTCATAAATTTGGTCTGTGTATCATACACACACGCACAATGGAGAGGGAGAGGGAGGGAGGGAGAATATGTTCACACCATACAGTGCTCTTGACCAGATCCAGTTCCATAGGTTGTGGTACAAAGGCATACCCATATTTATTGGTGAAGGTGATTTCCTCTTTGGCATGTAAACAGAACAGTTTCTTATTCTAAATTCAAACTTTCTACTCCCTATTATTTAAAAGCATTGCTTGGTACAAGGTAGGGCAGCCGGACTAGTGATGTGCTTTTAGCAGAACAGGATAAAAATCAAGATTTGGTGTTTTTTAGAAACAGCAGTACCCTTGGCACCAAATTTAACAGAAGCAAGCAGAGTTTTTAAGCTGGCTTGTTTGGGAAGGAGGAGAATGCTTAAAAAGAGCCCTGTGGACCAGACCAAAAGCCCAGCAGAACCCTGTTTCTTCAATAGCCGCAGTCCTATTCATTTGCCAAAACTCATAAGCAGGGACTGAAGGTGAGACCTGTTGTTCTCCAGTGACAGGTATTCAAAACCCCATTGCCTCTGAAGCTGGAGGAAAGTGAAGCCAAGAGCCAACTTTGGTCTTCCTCTGTCCTTCAGCCACTCCAAACCACGATCCCATCATCCAAAGTTTTGTCGCGTAAAACTCAGCCTTCCTCCTGGATCTCTAGCAGCCTAAAAACACCTTTTACTTTTCACTACTTTTTGCCATAAAACACCTTTGCCATATTACAGGCTGTTGGACTGCCTTGGGGATTAGGGGAGGCAGTAACAGCCTATTAGAAACAGCCTGTAGCTCAAAACCACAGGCAAACCAATCAATAGAATAAAATGTTAAATAAATAAAAGGGATGTACTGTGCCCTCCCTCTCCAAACCCAAACCAGTCAACTGTAGCCACTGTGGACAATGTGGCAACAGCTTTCAGTCACCAGCTCCACCTGGAACCTGAAATGTGGCAAAAGAACAGCGAGCGCAAAGGAAATCTTACATGCACACACACACATGCATGCAACCCAACCAGCAGATTAAAACAAACCACACTCCTGTCTTTTAGCAGGGGAGCACACCTCAGATCACCGAGGGGTAGCTGTTAGCCTAGCAGAGCAGGGCTCCTTAATGGCTAACAGAGCGATTGCGAGATGTGCTGTGGTGGACTAGAGATGGCTCAGTAAGTTTCACGAAGCATTCCCGTGGCTGACAGCTACAG